GTCTTGGGAGCAGACTCTGAAGGTAACCCCCATGCTGAAAAACCGCCTCGCTGGCTTTCAAAGGGAGGAAATCTGGGAGCAGGGCTGTTTTCTACGTGGCTCGCTGAGGAGCCTTGGGGTCAGAAGACAAGCAGGAGACAGACAGTAGTTTACCACTTTTGTAATCCTGTTGTGCCATAATTATTTTTTGTTTTAATGATCTAATTTTGGAATGTTTCTTAAGAAAAAAAATGCATGTCCCAAATCGGTGATATGAGATAGATCGAAAATATTCCCTTCTTTAAGGCAGCAGCAAAGGGGCTCGGATTAGGAGTCAGATCTGCTGTCAGCTGGGGGCTTTGTGCTTCCAAATAAAACGGATCAATCGAATCTGATCACTGTCCTAGGCAGGGAATAGACTGATCCTGGCCCTGGAGCCATGTGACGGGCCATGCAGCCAGACCCTCGGGTTTTGAAATCAGTTAGGAAATAGAGGAGTTTTGGAAAACACAGCTAAAGCGGGGTTAGGACTTAAGACTGGCTCATGGAAGATGGGACACTGTTTGCTGTAGGAAAAAGGCGATTCTCAGTCCCGGGAGGATGGTTGGGATTTCTGAGTCTGAATGGTATTTCTTCAAGAAAGTAGCATATCAATAATTATGCAGAAATTAATCATCCCCCTCTTCCCCCCTCCACACACACTCCTTTTCTCCTTTCTGCTGCCACCCCAGGCGCTCTCCCCGTGACTCTCAACAAGGATCTCATCCGATTTAAAACCGTGCAAAATATAAAGTCTCGACCTTGCCCTTCTTGGTGCAAATGCACGTTCTTATTTAAACCAAATGAACTGACGAGATGGCAAGAAAATTGCTGATTTCCCCCCCGCCCTTCGATTACATTTTCCAGCACGATTGTCGACCCCTTGCACCTCTCTATCCGCTGGCTTGTGCCTCAAACCGAGAACAAACACGAATCAAATTTTCCAACACTAATACTTTCCAAACATGAAAGCCAGAAATTGTTTCACTCCTTCCCATCGAAACAGCTTGGAGAGATTTTTATTTTTTCTTTTAATTAATTCGCTATTTCACTTTCAATTGCTTGGAAAGATTACAGACAGTTACAAATGACTCCCTTGCTTTTCAGATCCCGAAAAGGCATACATGTCCAACTCAGAGCTCCCTATCATGGATCTAATAAAAAGATAGCTAAAAAACCCTCTGTTTTTCCAGATAATTTTTGTCCTGGTGGACAAGGATTTATTTATTTTTTTGCAAGAGACGGATAATTTGAACTCACATGCTCTATGTAATATCCACAGAGAAGGGGACCTTTTCGTTTTAGTGTGGAACTGGCGTTTTAAGCTAATGATGTGGTAAAAAAATATTCTCTGTTTTTACTGCACGCTGCTGCCTGATACAGAAAGGGTAAGGGAAGGACAGTGGAGTCAAACGGGCGGGGAGAGAGTCGATCCACTTGATTACATGAACCCAGCCCCAGCATTTGAGTAGATGCTGTGGGTAAATCTGAGTGCCTCGCTGCAGGTTTGTTTTTCTTCTCCAGACACCTCCCTTGTTGCTCTGAATACAGTTTTAGTCAGGACTGCAAGAAGCGGGTGGGGAATGATTGCCCTCAAAGCACTCTTCGGATGTCTCATCATTGAGACAGAACAGCCTGAGATCGCCGTGCGGGCAGTGCGGTGCTCCTGCACCCGGGAGGGGTTAATTTTGTGGAGGGACTGTTTTTAAAAAATACCAAACCCAGGACAAAATAAACAAAATGAAGCAAACAACTCGAAAAGTCTGGAGCGAGCGTAACAAGGTGCTTTGCCTTTCCCCGCTGCTGTATCCCAGGCCCTCGATAGTCCACCTTCAGTAGCTTCTGTTGAATATATTGCATATTGGTTGCATATTTGGGGCTGGAATCAGTAGCTTTCCTCGTCTGGGGGCGTCAAAACATCTCTTTAGAAGCATCGGCCTGTTTTTTTTCACAAGCAGCCTTGCATGCCATGGCCAACGTGGTGAAAGTGCAGTAAGCCTTCCCTTTATGGCCATGTGTAACACCGAACTGTGAATTCTGAAGACAGCCATTGCTGTTGCAGCCTTTGGTGTGTCTGCCCCATTAAAAGGGCTGTGGACTTGGGACCTGCAAAGGTCACATGAGTATATGGAGCTCTGATGAATAGAAGCTCCAGAGGTAAACAGACCCTTAACTTTCAACTTGGCCTTGACCTTCAGATTATGTCTGACCTTTATGTAAAGGAGCATCTTGAGACCCTAGTGAGTTTGGGCCCTGTCTGCAAACATTTGACTGGGGGGAGGGGAGGAGGAATTGGTGGAAATGCTCAGCTCCCAAGCTGAGGGAGTGATTTTAAAAGGGAGGAGGAGGGAGTGGAGACTAGGAAGACATTAAAGGGGGGCAAAGTAGCAGCCTTTAACAAATAGCTGTAAAAGGAGAATGCTGGTCTTAAAGGAGAGATTAAAAAATAAGATAATTTGGCCAGTTTGAAAGAAATCAAAGGGAACTGCAGTTTGGTGGAAAGTTTCAAGGCTCTTTGAGGCGGGTGAAACAACAGTGGTGAGGGTGTAAGCTCAGATGGAGACCTTTTTGGTGGGTGAGGGGAGCGATTCTGCTAACACTGGAAGTCCACACTGGGTGCAGAAGCAGAGGGATCGGATCGGGTCCCTGGCTGTGCTGGGGAAATGTCCAGCTTTTTCACTTTGTTAAGGAAAGAAATTGACCATTCATAGGAACTTCTGTTTGCTAATGTTAGGGCAGACCCCCCTGGCCTGAATCATTTATGTCAGTAGGGTTACTCGTGTGAGGAAAGGAGAAGAAAATGTGTCTGTGTGAATGGTTACAGGTAAAGACAGTGTTGCCTTCCCACGCTAAACTCCCAAATCACAGTGAATCAAATGCACCTCCGCCTAAGCACGCATACACTTCCGAGGCACGCACATACGGGACGTGTGCGAGGCACAGAGCTGATTGCTTTATTTTGATTGACTCCATAACCTGATTTTTTAAAAAAGACGTTATGTTTCGGGCTTAGCTCTAATGATTATTTAAAGCTTGCTCAGCGGCTCAGCTATGGCAAATGCCACCCCCCCCACACACACTTAAAAATATGGTTGCAATAAAGTAGACGACACAACACATTGTATAAGAAAAGCAGATCTCCAGACAGAGCTAAGAACAAAGTTATGATTCAAAGTCTGTGGGAGTTTTAAAGATATGAGTTACAGGATACTTGAAAATTTAAGCTGGTCTGATGCACTCAAAACAGCATGTAAACGCTTTCTCCCTGTAAAACCCTGCTTTATTTCTGTTTCTCCATCCCTGAGTTCAAGATACTTTCTTTTCTTTTTACTATAGGGACATGTCTAGAAATTCGGGCGGCTGTTTGCTCTGTTACTATTCATCGTTTCCGAAAGCGAAATTCCCTTGTCTGCCGGCTCAGCCGTCTAATCTTTCACTGAGCACTTAAGACACAAAATATGAAGAGGACTCGACCCAAGCAAACTCATTTCCAAAGAGCTGCGTGAGTCAATGCAGTCTGAAAATGCAGCTAAATTCACAAAAATAATGTTTCGGGGGAAAATAAGATGAAGTAGAATCAAATTCTGCACCAAATGCTTTTCAGAAGTAAAAGGACCGACTGCCAGCCAGCCCTATGTACGCGTGTGCGCGAGTGGATGCATGTTTATATGTGCAACATGTGCATATACATGCATCTGATGCACACAGGCACACACATCTGCATCAGTTACCCACACAGCAATCTGGGTTATGTATTTATTAATTTTTTTTCCAAATTGAAAGACAGACAGATAAATGATGCGGGTGGAGACAGACAAGAGTACCCCCCATTCCCAGCGCAATCGCCCTCTCCGTTTGCCTGGATAACGGACCCACTCAGAAACTTTTTGCAAACAGATAAATATTCCCCTGCTCCTCTGCTAGGACTTCACATTTCAGGCCTCGTTATGATCATAAAACGTTAAAGCAAAACCGGGGCACAATGCTGCAGCCTGAGACAACAGTTCAGCTCTTTAATGCCACTCGATTACCTAGCGCAAATCAGAAAAGGATGTGTCTGGTCTGGATTATTGCAAAGCTGAGGAATCCTCCCAGAGCATTTCTCCTGCACATGAGGCTGTTCCAGCCTTTGCAGTTGCATTTCAAGCCCAGGATTATGTAGCCCTGCATCCACATTTTCCCCCTCTGTTTTTTCCCCCTGCGATCGCCACCTCTATCTCCGTTCTCTCTGTAGGCCCTTTGCCTTCTAAATTTGTGAGACCCCCTCCCCCTTTAAAAAATGAAAGCAATATAAAAATATCCGATTCTCCACTTCCACGCAGATGGAGAGAGAGAAAGGACACTTAGCTAGGGGGGGGAAGTGCCTTTTAGGAAGGTTTTATTTTTTTTTTGACTGTCATCAATACCCAACACCTGTCATGAAACATTTCGGCTTCAGAGGAGGCAGAGATGAGAGAGCCCCGAATCTGAGCATATTTGGGGACTGTCTGAATGTACCTCGATGGGAAAGAGATTTCAGCCAATATCCAGGCGCCCAGAGACGGAGCAACCTGCCTGGATTTTTTTAGGGTGTTTTCCAAGGCAAAACGATGGAGTTCTGTTTAAGAAATTATGCATGACTGTCTCGGATTGATCCTCGGTTTTTCTCACTGGAAATGGATCTTTGTGCCATAGTGGTTATATTTTTCCTGGTCTTTTTTTCTTTCTTTCTTTTTGGCACGATGCAATTTGAAAAGAAAAAAAAAGCAATTCTCCTCCGGCTTTTTTGCCTGTCACGTGTGGAGAGATTCTCTCCTCCCTCCCCCCACCCCACCCCCCAGTTGCAATAAAAGTATTTTCGCAATTTCTGCAATAAGAGTTTATTAGACTTTTTCCCCCCTTCCCTTCTCCCCTAACCTCTCCAGTGGGTGCGCGGCAGCCAATGAGCAGCTCCGCTTGGAGAGCCACGTCGTTTGCGTCAGTGTAGCTTGGCTGGAAGAAATGCAGCCTCCTTTGCAGTTCTCAGGCTTTTAAAAAGATTAGGAAGCCTTCTCCCGTTGCCCGCCTGCTGCTGAGCATGATCTGACCAATGCACCGGCCTGCAAACCTCGCTGCATGGACCCAGGGACTTTTACAAGCCACGACGAGCTGGATGAAAGCAATAAGAGCATGGAGGGGCTTATGGGCGCGGGCAATTTTGCTACTAACCAATGCAGGAATCTGGTGTCTCACTCGGCCTTGGGAGGTCCCTCTCCTCCAACCCTGATGCACAGCTCTAATTACCCCACGATGGATGCCGCCAATGCGGGGCCTGGGGAGCCCTCTAAGCAGTGCATCCCGTGCCCCGCAGTCCCCCAAGGGTCCTCCACCACCACGCCTTTACCTTACGGATATTTCGGCAGCGGCTATTATTCTTGTCGGGTTGCCCGGAGCTCCCTCAAACCTTGCCCCCAGAGCAGCTACCCCGCTGAGAAGTATGTGGATACTCCGGCTGCGGGGGAGGAATTCCAGCCCCGACCAACAGATTTCGCTTTCTACCCAGGCTACGCAGGCCCCTACCAGCCCATGGCGAGCTACCTGGACGTTTCTGTAGTTCAGACCATGGGTGGGCCCGGAGAGGCCAGGCATGAGACACTTTTACCCGTGGACAGTTACCACCAGCCCTGGGCTTTAACCAGCAGTTGGAACAGCCAGCTGTGTTGCCCCAAAGATCAAAGCCAGGCTGGGCACTTCTGGAAATCTGCCTTTGCAGGTAAAGTCCCCGACCCCTCTGCACGTTTCAGGCGTTTTGGTGGGAAGCTTTACGTAGGTTGAACCATGAGGGTGTTCTCCCTCCCCCATCAAATTGTTGTTATGCTCCAGAGCGAGGGAGGGGCTTTTCAGGCAGTGTTAATGTTAGGATTAAAGAATGTAGCTTGAGGCAGGGCCCCGGCGGAGCGCAGGAGCAGAATCCTCTTCCATCTGCCTCCACCAGTGTGCCCCGCCAGCTCCAGCGCTGCAGGCAGGCAGCCCCCGGCCCCCTTCTGATTCACCCCTGGGCTTTGCAATGTTGCCCGAGCCGAGCTCAGCCCGTTCAAATAGAAATCAGTTTGATTTTAATTCGGCAAGGTGCGTTGCAACATGTCACACTCCCAGCCAAGGCAACAGGGCACTCATATCATTCCCGTTGGCTCTTGTACTTGGCAACGTGGAGCGAGCAAATCGAGTCAGTACAACTGGCTGTTATTCTGGGTTAAACATGCAACACGGCACAAGCTATACGAGTAGGTACAGAATCTGTACCACATCTGTACCGAAAATATAGAAATTACTTTCTTCCGATGCAGTAATGCGCGGTGAAAGATGTCACACTCGCCCCCAGCAACGACATGGACGTTAATATAATATGATCACGATCCAACAGTGAGCGTTGCAATACTACTAAGCGAGAAGATATGCGATTATTCCGGCTCAGAAATGTGCTTTGGGAAAGTCCGCAATTGCAAGTGGACATTAATATTATTCTGATTCATTCGTGCACCTTGCAACTTCCTAAATGTATTTTCTCCTAAGGATTTTTTTTTTTTCTGAATAAAAGGCAGGGAAAGATAATGTAATCGTGGTTGAATCATCCCAGGGAAAATGGGGGCGCTCGTTTTCCCCCTAAGAAAAGACAGGGCTGAGACGTGAGGTCGGGAAGAAAGGGATCCATATTTGAAGGTAAAAGCGGAGAGCACAGCGAGGCTTGATTTCCCCTCGGTGGTAGGAAACGCGTGATCGAGCCAGAAGGAAGAGAGGGGCTCTGGGGTTAGTCCACTGCACCCCCGGACGCGGGTTCCGGTCAGTTTCCCCGGGGCCCTGAGCCCTGGGGGAGCCTGCGAGGGACGGGTTCCCCTGAGCTGAGCTCTGCCTTTTCTCTCCTTCTCCGTCTCTCCACTCAGATGCTGTAGCTCAGCACCCGCCGGACGGCTGCTCCTTCCGCCGGGGTCGGAAGAAAAGGATCCCGTATAGCAAGGGGCAGCTGAAGGAGCTGGAGAAGGAGTACGCCAGCAACAAATTCATCACCAAGGACAAGAGGAGAAAGATCTCCGCCGTCACCAACCTCTCGGAGAGACAGATCACTATTTGGTTTCAGAACAGGAGGGTGAAGGAAAAGAAAGTCATCGCCAAAATCAAAAGCAGCAGCACTCCTTGAGAAAACAACACCATTAAAATAATCCACAACAATGAGCCCCATTTTCAAAGGGATCTGGGTAGACTTGAGGTGTAAAGAAATACCAAATGAGGGGGAAAATAATCAGCTGGAATTTGGACTCATCTACGCCCCAAATCCCCCACTGCCATCCCACGGACTCCCGGCGAAGCGTGCGCTTCCCAGGGCTTTCTCAATGGTCTTGTTATTATTTCCTTTAATAAGTTAAACCCAATTGTAAATGCCGATGATTTAGGGAGATGCAATATTATCCAGTCTGTATGTAGAGGAATGTGTGCAGTTTACATTTTTGCCTTATAGTGCCACTATGAAGTCATATTCTCTCTCTCTTTCTTTTGTATGAGGTCCATCTTTACAAGCGCTTTAGCAAACTGCCTAATTAAACTGAATTAATAAATTCCAATACGTAACACGGCTTTGATGGCTTCTCGTTGGGCATATGTTCACCAAACCCGCCTGCTATATGACGAACGGCGGAGAACTGAGGGCATGAAGATGAGGGCATGAAGCCCTTTTAAAGGGGAAACCTTTTGCACAACGTGTTCAAACCTTATGTGTGCTTAGCTGAAAAATTAGTCTTTTTAACTACAGTTTGATACGAAGAGATATATAACATTTCAATCCTATATGCATGCGTGTGTATAAGCGCACGCGTATACAAATCTATGCAACGCAAGTGTATTTTTCCTTGTATTTATAAATATATATTTGTACATATATGCGTGTACAAAATGTAATTAGGTGTATACACACGTATATACACAAACGGGTATTTATTAATATGTTTCTTATACATTTTGCGTGATTATATACACGTGTACCCACATTCATGCACACAGATAAATGCAAAATAATGTTCAATGTGTTTAAATCTGACTGTATACATGTGTACATACATATATACAAGAGTGCGTCTCTACATATATGGATGCATGTTTTTACATGCAGATTAACACAGTTATATATACGTACATACATGCATACACTTTGTATACCTGCACATATGCATAAATATATGTGCCCGTATATTTATATACATTTTCCTTCTCTCACTCTTCATAATCCGCAGTCGTAGTCGATATTTGCTAGGTAAAGGTAAAGGATCGCTTTTGTAACACTAATAAGAATTGCTCTTTGGCAAAGTTAGATTCTACTAAGACATGTTTGCACTATTTATAACTAAGCAGTGTTAAACGATAAAATATGCTGTTAAAACATGCGAAATTACCTCGCCTTTTAGGGTCATGACTGCAATTTCAGAGAAGCCACCGGCCTACGAATATTAAATGTAAGACGCAGGATGTCTTTGTGTCACATCCCAGTGTTTTAGAAGCAGCTGCGAGAATTTCCAGACATTATCTCCCCACCGGAGTTGCATATAACGTCTAAACTTGCCTGCATACAACTTTAGCGACTGCCACTTAGCTTGATGTCAAAGCAAGTAAAAAATGTTGGTGCCTTCACCCCTGGTTCAAGTTGACTTGGAAAAAAAAATCTAAGCAATAAACCCACGGCGTGTATCCTAAATAAGGACTGATCCTTATTTAACAGGTTCTCTCTAATGTTGTATTGTTTTCCTGTTTTCCAGCTAGCAGAATCTTAAATTCATAAACACTGACTTGGGGGCAGGAGGGGAGGATACCTTCAGTTCACCCGCAGTTCACTCCTATAAATATAAAGCCGTAGGGTCAAGTTCACAGAGGGAGCTGGAACAGAAATCTGCCTGTCCGTCCTATCCGTAATAATTACCAGTAACAGAGCGAAAACTCCCCACTCGCTTGCACGCCCGCACCTGGCTTTTACCCCCCGGGTGTATACTCAGTTCCCCCCGAAATATACAAATGATGAAGGGTGCTTTTTGGGGAGGGGAGGGGAGTTAAATCAATAAAAAGACAGTGAACAATTGCATTTATTTTTCCATGAGCACGTACTCTCGGGAGATCTGGGCCCCGGATGTGCTAAGTCCCGGTTCCCTTCCTCCCCTGGCACTGAGGCACGGGAATGGAAGTAGTCTGCTGACCATGTGGGGAGTGGTGTCTGCCCTGGGGCTCGACTCACGGGAAGGGGAAGTGAGCGAACGGCTCCCCGCCGCGGTCGGGGGAGGGGCCTTGTCTGAGCTCCCCATTCATCAGCCTTTCGCCTCGACCTCTCAGGGGCCAGGATCCCCGCGCAATTAGGCCTCGGTGACCTTGACTCCGAGTCTTTTTTCCCCTCTCTCTGCCTCGGATCCGAGGAGCTGGAGCCTGCTGCCTTCCAGTGGCTCCTGCGCATTAGAAGACCGAGAGCTCCATCTCCTGTTGGCTCCTGTGCATAGTTGACTTGTCAGGCCGGGGTCAGTGCTCCCAGCTCATAGCAAGTGCCTCTTGTGTAGAAAGGGGAGGGAGGGTGTTGTCAATGCTCTTGGCAAAAATAAGAAAGCCCTATGGACGCTGCTCAGAAGCACTCCTACGCAGATGTACACAGACACAGACCCACAAAGAGACAGGGATGCAGGCAGAAATGCGCACAAACATACAAATGTACAGGTACACTCGGAAACAAGAGCACATGCCGACCTAGACGCACACGCACAAACGCATACGTACATGTGCAGTCAAACAGAGACAACAATAGATATCTCTCCACTCAAGCGAGTGGTTTTGCTGCACACGCGAGCCCAGAAACATGCACGAATAGGCACGCACACGCCTCAAACCCCTGCACACAGGCATGCCAACTCAGAAGCACGTGCAACCGTAGAAAGACACATCCACTCAAATGCACTCATGCATACAAACACATGCACACATGCATACAAACACTCATACACAGAAACGCACACGTGCAGGCGTTCATACGCTCTCTCAATATACCTACAGTCAAAAGTTGGTCATACACGAAGTCCATTGAAAAAGTAATGAATGAGGAGGCAGCAGAAATACTGAATGCAAGGCAGGGGCACAAGGGGAATCGGGCCAACCTATCCAGATTCTCTGAGCAACCCCACTGTCAACCCAGACTAACCCCATTGTTTTACACCCGAGGGATCAGACTTCTGCCCATTTGACTCCTACAGGCTTGAGTAGAGACATCAAGATGTGGCCTCCATGGGAGCATTTTCCTCCGTGGGATGCCAGACAGCTACGTTTGCTTTCTCTGCGTGAAGCGAAGGGAGGGGGCCCTAATTCACCCGGCCCCCCTTTGTTACTGACACAGGATTACACACAAGGATGTCACGAGCACCGATTCTTCTGCATTTCAAGACACTACTGCAGGGCAAAAGCAATTATTTACACATCAATAAGAAATCCTCACGGGTTTTCCATTTAAACCGGGCTGAGGGAGGAGGGCTGTAAACCAAACCAGAACATGTCTTTTATTGAGGCAGATCAATTGTTTACAGCTATAGTTTTCATCACCGCTTGGGCAATCGGGTGGATTGCAAGGGTGAAGTTTTTCTACCTTTAGGGCTCTTGGTTGTAACCGCGTTGGTCTAAGGACATAGGCAGACACTGTGCTTTGGGTAGAAGTGATATCTGTTATTAGACCAGCTAAAGCTGGACTAATGAAAGATATCACGTCTACCCAAAGCACCGTGTTTGTTGGATGTCTTTGACGTGCGTGAGAGTGATGCAAATGGGGCTGTGGATTTCCAGCACAAGGAGGAAGGAAGTAGCAAAGCCAGATCTGTACCCCTCAGCAGATTGCTTAGCGACCATGGTTGTGTTTGCTGCACAAACAGGGTCGCTTAGGTCTGATCGGTTCTTTCGAAACAATCACGTTTTCTGGTATGTTGGGATAGAGATGTCCCTCAGAGATTTCCCGTGCACCTAAAAGGTTATTCCAGTGGATAACGTCTTCCTTCTGGAGCCTCCACTGCAGTCTCAAGAAACGCAGTCGGGGAAAAGACCCGGCCGTTGAGTTCTACCATCCAACCTCTCCTACAGTGTCATGAAATGTAACGGAGTCTCATGAAGAGCCTTGCTGCGTGCTGCGTGTGATCGCCCTTGTTTAATGTTCCTGGAGCAGAGACCCCTCTCAAGCTCCCTGCAACTGCCTGCTTTTTATTTCTACCGATGATGCAGAGGCAAACGTGCAAACTGAAGGGAGTGGTCGCTGCAATTTATTCAGTAAAAACGGATTGGTCAGAAGCTCACGGTCAAATATGGTGGAGGTCGCACGAGGCGCGAGGGTTTAACAATGGGGTATTCACTGACTTGTCTCTGTAAGAGACGTCCAGAGAGCAATGGCTGCCAGAGCCCGCAAGACACGCACAGGCTGCGGGAGGATGTCAGCAGGCTCTTCCAGCATCGCAGACACACGCGCGCAGCGTTGGAGAGGCGTCTTTAGGCCAAAGATTTCTATATCGTAGATGCTATGATATATAAATCATCAACACACCCAGTGCTTGAGAGGGGTCTTCAGACCAGCAAGGATTTTGATGTTCTAGGTTATATGTTTTATATCACGCACTTACACCCTCCCCCGCAAAAAAACTCTTGGTTCCCCCACCTCTGAAACGTGCAGATCTGACTTCTTCCTCCCATATTAGCCTCAGCTACAGTCAGATCCGCGAGGCCTCCTAAACAAAAAATGCAGTGAAGGGGGAGGAAGGGGGAGCGCAGAAAAGCTCTTGCATAGAAGGTTGTGAGAGCTATAAAAACCCCCACACAGCGGGAACAGAAAAGCTGCCTGAAATTCTTGTAAAACCCTAAACAGGAGACGCTTTAAAAAAGGAGAGAGAGAGAGAGAGAGAGAGAAGAATTTTCCAGGTAAAATGCCCCCCACTCTCCCCCCAGACAGGAGGAAGGACTTGCTGGGCTCATCTCCAATGCTGCTAGAGGTGACTTTGCCATTGAACTTGAAACCCAGGGAAGTCTGACCCCCAGCGTATTGCTGGCAAGGCCCTGGAGGTCTCTGCAGGTCATTTCCAGGGACACGTTAAGAAATGCTTTAAATACTGAGCAGGCCGGACAGGATTTGGGGGGCTGAGGATGGGAGGAAGAGGGAAGGTGAGAGCTAATCTAACTAGCTCCATCCTCTGAGCTGGAGAGGAAAAAAAAGGATAGACCGGGAACAAAATGGGTGGACAAGGGAAGGGAAGAAATGGAGATCAGGGCAGGATAGGGCGGGCATAACAAGCAGGGTACTGGAGATCAGACCAGGAGTGGGGAAGGGGAATCCACGTCGTGCAAATCAAGGGTGGGGGGAGATGCTGATTCTTCTAAGCGGTTCCTCTATAGAGAAATTCCTCTTCCTCCCAGCACACGCACGCGCACACACACACGCGCGCGCGCGCGCACACACATTCTGGCGTTCAAGAGGATGCCTTGGACTTGCTCGCTGGCGCTATGAACCCGCCACTGGAACAGTGTCGCAGCTCCAGG